ACTCTCTAATCCCTTAATCAACTTTTGCTACAAAAATTATTATACCACCAAACAATTAACTATACTTTAATCCACTATAAATACAAAGAAATCGCAAACAACAAAGACACTGCCAACAATAATATCTTAACGGGGGCGTCGGTGGCCGCAAGGTTTAGTCTTTGACACGGCGCTCATAAGCTAAAAGTCCCGGGTTCGAATCCAGCGGCCCTGCATTCGAACCCGACATACTTACAGAAAAAAAAAAAGATACAGTTGTATTTTTTTCGGGCAGTATTTCATGCGATAACTAGCCAATTTTAATCTCATTTCTTCGTTTAAACAATTGTACAAACAGATGGTGATACGAGAAAGGAGGCAGCGATTGCATCAACTATTCTCCAGGTCACAGAAGAAACCTTGGGCAGACGTTGAAGGCTTTTTTCACATCTAAAAGATTTCAAAATAGTCTAGGGCATCCAGAACCGTACGGCGTTATGTGAAAATTAGTCAAAACTATATCAAATTTGCGTCATAGTCGAATAATAATATATATATAAAGCATTATCTAATAAATAAAAAGTATTTAATATTGAAATATGAATAATTTTAAAGAGAAACAGTCAGAACAAAACAATGATTCGCGGAATGTTATCAATGCTATTTCCAACAATTATTCATTGTTATGCATATCTGAAACCGAGCGACTAGGCACGTTAGTCTGACCTTTAGAAACTGTTATTCTAATCTTCCGTTCTGGGGAGGACGGGCCTATTTCAAAGCGTTACACATATCCTGTTGTTTTTTTTATGTCGAATAATTGACTCGGACATGAACGTTGGGCAAAGGGAACAAAGAAAATTTAAAAATACAGTAGTTTTGTTGTGTTTTGCAACCAGTAACTCGTTTTTGTAGTAAAACCGATAGGGCCAAGGATGACTAGTAACCTTAAATTCACAAGTGTTCCTGAAAGTGCAGAATTGTCCTGTCACACAGAAATAGAAGCAACTATATGATATTCCTAAAAATTATGAACCTTGGCTTGCACAGGAAAATTCAATCTATACTATGAGGTAGAACAAGATCTTTAATATTGTCCAGTAATGCGACCTTCACTTAAAGATGAGATGTGCGAAATGAGATCCTTTGGGAAAAAACATTCGATCTTGTTGTGGGAATCCACCTCTGACATCGAGGTTATGTCGTACTATGACTTTCAACATTGCATGGCATAGGACATGTTAAGGAGTCACATTTATTTTCAGGACTGAAGGACCTAAACTAACTAACTAACGAAGAATTAACCACTATTTTGTCAAAATCGCCTATAGATTGTACAAATAGTGCACTAACATCAAACACTTCTGCCTCTTTCTACTTCTACCTTTTTAATTTAAAAAAACACGTGATAAATACTTGTGTTATTTTCCTCAGTGGTACATTACAAAATCAGATTAACATTGGAAGAGAACGTTTCCGAGAACTGAGCCGGGAACGTCGCCGACCACAAAAGGTCATTGGGGTACTTACTACTTTCATTCCGGCTAGAGCTGGTCGGAGATTTCTTGGAATGGATTGGCCGAGATAAGATTTTGTTTTACCACCATAGGATTTTTTTTAACTTTCGCGAAGTTGGACTTTCATTCGGATGGCCTTGCAAGGAAGAAATAGAAAGTGTTTAATTGGAGATCGCTTTGTGTGAACGCACCCGTCCAGCGTTAAATCCGTTTGTCAGGTCAATATTATCTATATTTCAGATAATTCTGCTTACATTACGACCGAAATTAATTGATTTTAATAAATATTGTAAAAAAAATGATATGACGTACAGAAACGATCTATCAGGGGGCGAAGTTTCGAAGAAGTAAAGCAGTTATTATTTTGTCAAGTGTTTGGGTAACACTGTAGGCAACACTGATTCCTCGACGTTAGATCGTCCATGTGAGACTTTATGCTTCTTCCTTATGACAGACCTTTCCGTCCAGTTGATTAACCAGAAAGAAAAAACCTCCGTTGAAATGGATCGAGAGAGAGTGAGTAGGAACCATCTTTTTTAAAAAGGATTTAACTCCACACTCACCCCATCATTTATAATCTCTAAAAAGGATAAGAACTACTTTTTCCTTACTGATTAAAACTACATTACCTTTTCCTTAACTATTTATATTTAATAATTATTCAGAGATCGTGAGATGCGATCTGGTGTGATGTAGGTTTCAGAAAGTCATTTTCTTTATCATGCCAACGTTTCGATCTTTTACAATTAATTAAGGTTTTTAGCTGAGATGAAAAAAAGTTAATGGCACGAGAGGGATTCGAACCCACGACCTTCGGCTAGATACGCCGCTGCTCTACCACTTGAGCTATCGTGACCTCGATCCGCTCGGACATCAACTCCCCATCTCAACCCCACCTTATGAGTTTTCCCTCCTTGTTTCGATCTTTATTGAGATCGTTGGCAATCTCAACACGACACGCAACAATGGCACAATTACACAGAAGACAAACACTTTGAGCCCTGAAGATGATCTCAACAAAGATCGAAACGTTGGCTCGATAAAGAAAATGGTTTTCTGAACCTACATCACACCAGACCGCATCTCACGATTTCTGAATAATTATCGATTAACGGTCACTAATCACCACACATTTTTATATTTGCTTCTGAATTGAGTTTCTTTGGATCCTAATTAAGAATAGATTTTTGGTTTGACAAACCGTCATCTTCTCACTTATGTCATCAAATTGGTCAAACATTGAGATTAGCTCGAATAAAAAATACCTTTCTGCCAAGATACCCCGTCGATAAGCCGGCAAAAAAATGGACGAAATTAAAATCTAATTTTTTTCTTTCGAACAAGGCAAAAAGACGAATGTAAGACACCAGTTTTGCCTCGAGTCTAGCACATTCCATCCCAACACCCGATAAATTATATTTACCTACTCCAACCTTTCACGAACTATCAATCTTTTCACCACTTTTATTAATTCCACCTTGTCTCACAGCCAGCTTTTATTAAGGAATGTATTTTCTAAGAATGACCCGAGGTAATATCCGGATCCGAGGCTATGAAGAATTACGAGAGCAGACGTTTTCCTTATCGTACACCATTGTTCTCTTGTCCTGTTAATCAAAGTTGCAACGATTATCGTTTTGCTTCTCGTCCAGCCGTTTATTTCAGCTTGAGTAAGATGTACTTGAAAAAAAAATTATATTCACAGATAATTCAGATCTATTTGATCAAGTACCCTAACAATTGTGAAGCTCAATTTTTCAGTTCCTTTTCGTTTATTTCCCTAACACCAAGGAACTAGACTATTACTTCATAGACACAGTTCACAAAAGGTTAAAATATCGCTGAATTTAACTATTATCATAAAATAATTAGCATCGAAGATCAAACTATTGGCTATTTTGTGAACTACTATGAAGACCAACATAGACCAAACTTTCAATTAATTAAGGTTTTTAGTTGAGGTAAAAAGGCGTATCTAGCCGAAGGTCGTGGGTTCGAATCCCGCGCGTGACTCTGACTTTTTTATCTCGACTAAAAACCTTAATTAATTGAAAGATATTAATTGGTCAAGCGGACCACGAAAACAAGTGAATTTAAGACCAAACTGTTTTACTTGAATTACACTGACTGTACACCATTAAGGCCAATTTATTTTAAAATTTTACTACCAGTACGTAAGACATAACTACTAATGAATTTGACTTGTGTCTTTTATTGTCTTAGAGCAATATTAATATAATAATTACTATTAATATAAAATTAAACTTTTACTACAAAGACATCGGCAAATGCACAAATATTTATTTAGCAAAGACGACTTTCTGCACGAAGTCCAAACTATTTTTGGATTCAAGTATTACTACAAATTCACTAATTTCGTGGTCCGCTTGACCAATTAATATTGTACAATTAATTAAGGTTTTTAGTTGAGATAAAAAAAGTCAATGGCACGAGCGGGATTCGAACCCACGATCTTCGGCTTGATTGATACGACGCTGCTCTACCACTTGAGCTATCGTGACCTCGATCCACTCGGACACCAACTTCCCATCTCAACCGCACATTTTGAATTTTCCCTCCTTTTGCCATTTTTCAAATGTCGTGTAATCGGGTTGGATTCTCGACGACAAATGAAATGGCCATTACTACAAAGACATCGACAAACACACAAATATTTATTCAGCAAAGACAACTTTCTGCACGATGTCCAAACTATTTTTGGGTTCAAGTATTACTACAAAGACGATTCAACAAGACATAAATTTACTATACAGACTTGTTTAATGCTCTTTTCCTGATTTGTCTCCAAACTGATTATGGATTCAATCATTACTACAGACACGATTCTACGAAGACATAAATTTACTATAAAGATGTTTTTAATGCTCTTATCCTGATTGTCTTCAAACTATTTATGGATTCAATTATTATTACAAAGACGATTCAACGAAGACAAATTTACTATAAAGATTTTTTAACGCTCTTTGCCTGATTGACCCCAAACTATTTATGGATTCAATTATTACTACAAAGACGATTCAACAAAGACATAAATTTACTAAAGATTTTTTTAATGCTCTTTTCCAGATTGTCTCCAAACTATTTATGGATTCAAATATTACTACAAAGACGATTCAACGAAGACATAAATTTACTATGAAAATTTTTTTAATGCTCTTTTCCTGATTGTCACCGAACTATTTATCGATTCCATTAATACCACAAAGACGATTCAACAAAGACATAAATATACTAAAGATTTTTTTTATTGCTCTTTTCCAGATTGTCTCCGAACTATTTATGGATTCAATTATTACTACAGACATAAATGTTCAATAAAGATTTTTATTGCTCTTTTCCAGATTGTCATTTAACAGTTTTTTTAAATCGTTGATTTAACTTTCTAGGGAGTCACCATGAAGATTTATTCATTGTCCCAGAATCTGGATATCTGTAAAAAAATTATTTTCAGGTTGGGCAAAAAGGTAAAAAAAATCAAAACCATTTTATTTAATATAAGTTTATAAAATAATTTACAAATATTAAACTCGATTTATCGTATAAATTAGGCTGAAATAGAAAACACTTTAGAAAAAAAGGCATCTTGGCAAAGAGATTCAATCTCAATTTTCATTTAAAAAACACAGTATTTAGGCTTAAATTGAGCAGATTTCATCAAATTGTTGAGTGGGCCGACAAACCTGAACAGTTTTCCAGTAGAGTCATTATATAATTATTTATATACTTATCAGATATGTCTTTTTATGATTATAATAATCTATTATAAATAATTAATCAGTCTAAATGCTGATTCACCTCGTTCAAAATCACTAAACAAATCCGATATCGAAAAAAAATCATGTCACTAGTTTGTCTTTTATATTACACGATATAAATACATGACAATAATTTATTGAAATTCCAGAAAAATAAAAACAAAAGGAAAAACCACATATATATACACAAATATAATTACAAAAATAAACAAATATTGTTTACGGGGTGGCTCCCTCAGTGTATACGATAAGTCGAAGACACAACTTCTAGGATTTATTTTTTCATCACAGTCATTGAGAAATTGTACAGCGTTCAAGGCACTAAACAGTCTTGTTTTTTGTTTTTATATATTTTTTAAAATCATGATATTAAGTAGAATTGTCACTGACTGTTACTGGCTGCCGTTTGTATCTTCTTGGAAAGTTCTGTAATGACCTCTTTGTAGATGAGGGGGTCCATGTTCCGTCCGAGCATGTAGAGCACCCACCAGTCGCCGATATCCGTTGATTTCGATATCTCTTCGGCGACGGACATCGGTACCATCCTGTTCCTGGCGCGGAGGAGGTACGGCCTCACCCCGGGTACTACTAGTATGACTATTCTGTATACGACCAGGACGGTAAGGAGAGTCGCCAAGATTATGAACCAAAACCATATCAGTATGTATGTCTTCTCGTTGACTATGTTGAGCGGGAGGACGCAGAGTGAGTCGTGCTTTTGAATCGTGCCGGACGGACCGAACTTATGGAACGTGCATTTAGTCACTCTGGGGAAGACGTACACCATCGGATCCACGCGGTTTTCCTGCGTTTCCTCAGAGAAGCTCATCACTCTCAATCCGTAGGACATGAATTCGCCGTCGAAGAAGGTGTTCATGAGGTAAAGCTGCCCGATGATGTTCACAAGGCAGAGGACTTCGCAGAACCAGTACCTCATCGCATACGTGTTATGCCTCTGCAACAAATATCACATCACATAAGTAACACTCAAAGAAAACACACAAACATAGTAATGTAAAACACTCAAAACAAAAGACAAAAACAGAAATACACGTCGAACCCCAATAGTTCAATGAATGTCTACATGTTTCCCTCGCGCTCTTCAATTTTTACACAGTCTGACTAAAAAACGGTTTCCCCCCCCCTTGTTTCTGACCAAAAACAGCGAGTAATGGCAGACCAAGATTAGCCCAAGTGAAACCTACACTTCATCACTTTAGCTTATGTCCGAATGTTTCCCTCGCGCCTGCTCTTTCTAAAGGTCCAGGCCAGAGGAAGGTATGCTTCCTTTCGGTCGATTTTGAAAATAAAATGCTTGAAATTAAATCACAAAAGGCTGGGACACTCGAGGAGCTTTTCGACAAACATTTCCTTCGCCGTTGAATGTCCGCATGTTTCACTCCCGTCAGTCCTTTCCAAGGGCTGAAGAACCTGGCCAATCAATGGGCGTACTTTAACGCATTATATTATTTCAATATATTATTTGAGCAGAAATGATAAATATTATATAAGCACTTTTAGACAGTTTCAGTGAGTGTCCGCATGTTCCTCTCGTGCCACTGCTTTATGTATGTTCCCTGAAGGACCTGACCAATCCGTGGGCGTAACAAATACAACAAATGATTAACAAATGTATTATTCTAATAAATTAACCGATGAATTTTATTTCTATTTTTAACATCAGTGAACGTCCTCATGTTTTACTCGCATCATCCTAGAAAAACCTGGCATGATTGGCCAGAAAGGTTTTTTTAAACTGATTATCTTATTCCTATATATTATTTGAACCGATATAATATATGATTATTATTTCTGTTCTTTTAGGCAGTTTCAGTGAATGTCTGCATGTTTCTCTCGTGCGAGTACTTTTCGTAGGTTCCCTGAAGGGCCTGGATAATACGAGAGCGAAACAATTTCAATAAACTTATTAAAATATAATTTTATGTTTTTGATATCTTTGAATGTCCGCATGTTTCACTCACGTCAGTACATTTTTAAGTTTCTAGCCAAATTTGAGAAGTATTATTTCGTTCAAAATTCCTCTTTGAAACATAAAAAGGCTGTTTGGAAGAGCTTTTTTAACTAAAATTTCCTATCTTCAATGAATGTCCGCATGTTTCTCTCGTGCCCATCATTTTAGTTTGGTCCAGGATAATTCCGTAATTAAACGAGCGTTTTATGTATCAATATGTGATGAAATTATTTCAACACTGCAGACCACTTCGGTGAATGTCTGCATGTTTCTCTCATGCCAGTCCATTTTGTAGGTTCTAGCCAAATCAAAGCAAAGACTGTCACGTCCATTTGCTTCAAATATAGCCGAAAATCAGACCTATGATAGAAATGAAAAATGATGGAGTGAGTGTGGTGTTCAATCCTTTTTAAAAAGATAGTTCCTACTCACAGTAAGTCAGTCACTTACTGTGAGTAGGAACTATCTTTTTAAAAAGGGTCAGACCTATGATGTCCATCACTGGAAAAAAAGTCCAAGGTGTATATATTTTTGAGTTGTGTCTGGGTTTGTTGAATTTTTTAATTTGGTTGAGTAAGATCGAGCAATTCCGGCTAAACGACAGGACTTAAATCTTCAACAAGATAACCAAAACGTCCATCAATCTGGCAATTATCACGAAGGGAAAAACTGTGATAGGCCACATACGCCTCATGGTGGTGTTTCACCGTTGTGACTCGGTTTCTGTTTTGTTTCCTTTGTGGATGAAGACGGGAGAAAAAAAGGTACAAAGAAGAATCACGTAACGCACATCACGGCTAGTCATATATAATTACCGGGCACAAGATTATATGACCCCAATTTCGTCTTCCATCCCTTTAATAATCGTATTTTTCATGAAAATCACAACACAAGTTAATAGACGGCGTGTACACATAATACATAGCTGTGTACAAATAATTAACACGGCCAAAAAAAACTTCTATCAATAATCAACATTTACAAAAAAAAAATAATGCACACTTTTATTAATCTTTTTCCGATTAAAAAAGAAGAAACAGATAACTCAAGTTATACCAGGTCTTATGACTTTCCGGTGGTCGTTTATATATATGACCCCAACCCACTTTTGAAAAAAATAAATCGCTATGGCCCACAGTCATCAGAATATATTTTCAACACTCGCTTGTCGTACATATTTCTGTGCACATGTGCGTGTCAGTTGCGATGTTTTTTTTTTCAACTGGCAGATGGTGAAACGAAAGAGGGGTGAAGCCGAATGGTTCAGAACGTTCGGCAAAATTTCGGTTTGACCAAATAGAAAAATAATTTTTCCAATTGCTTTTTCTCCATATACACAAAAAAATCTACAACGAAAAATTATGGTTCTTTTCCAAAATGTCAAATTACGATAAACTTAAGACGTGAGAGTAGATAGGGTAGATACAAGGATAGATAGGTAAATAGTAGATTGAAAGGTTATATATACTGAGAAAGGGAAAAATGAAGAGATGGAGGAAAAGTGAAAAGAAAGTTAGAGAAATAGAAAGGTAGATATAAAGTGAAAGGGAAAGATAAGAATGACAAGAAACAAACATAGGTAGTGGACGTTTTTTCGAAAGGTAATTGGAATAGAAAGTTTGACAGATAATGAGAGTGAGGTAGATTTGTAGATAGGTAAAGATAGAGTAGAATAGAGTAGAGGGAGAGAGAGAGAGAGAGAGAGAGAGAGAGAGAGAGAGAGAGAGAGAGAAAGAAAGAAAGAAAGAAAGAAAGAGAGAGAGAGAGAGAGCGATAGTGAACGAAATAAATTGAGAGGAGTTAGAGAAAGTGAGATAAAAATATGAAGAGAGACAGAGGGAAAGAGAGCGGAAAGACTACCAGAGAGAGTAAGAAAGAGAGAGAGATGGAGATAGTAAAGGATGGAGAGAAAGAAAGATAGGGAGAGAGGGGGGAGGAGAGAAAGGGGAGGAGAGGTGGTGAAAAAGAGAGAGTGTGAGAGAAAGGTAGTAAAAGAGAGCGATAGTGAACGAAAGAAATTGAGGAGTTAGAGAATGAGAGAGAACATGAGAGAAAAAGAGAAAGAGAGATAGAGAAGAAAGTGGAGAGATTGCCAGTGCGAGCAACTAAGAAAAAGAGAGATTGAAGAATTGAGAGGAGTTACAAAAAGAGGGAGAACATGAGAGAAAAAGAGAAAGAGAGATTGATAGGGAAAGAGAGCGGAAAGATTGCCAGTGAGAGCAACTAAGAAAAAGAGAGAGTGAAAGATTGAGAGGAGTTCGGAAAAGAGGGAGAACATGAGAAAAAAGAGAAAGAGATGGAAAGAGAAGAAAGCGGAGAGATTCCAGTGCGAGCAACTAAGAAAAAGAGAGAGTGAAGGATTGAGAGGAGTTCGGAAAAGAGGAAGAACATGAGAAAAAAAGAGAAAGAGATAGATAGGGAAAGAGAGATGAAAGATTGTTAGTGAGAGCAAGAAAAAAAGAGAGAGTGAAGGATTGAGAGGAGTTAGAAAAAGAGAGAGAACATGAGAAAAAAAAGGAGGAGAGAAAGATAAGGAAGAAAGCCAAGAGATTGCCAGTGAGAGCAAGAAAGAGAACGAGAGAGTGAAGGAGGGAGAGAGAGAAAGAAAGGTAGATAGAGATAGATCGATAGAGAGAGAGAGAGAGAAAAGAGAAAGAGAGATTGCTAGGTACAAAAAAGAGAGAGAAAGAAAGAACGAAAGCTTAAAAAATGAATAAAAATGTAAGAGAGAAAGAAATAACGCTAAAAAAAATTAAAAAAGAAATAAAGAAAGCAAGTAAGAAAATGGAAAATCAAAGAGAAAGAAAAACTAAATAGAATACTACAAACAGTAAACGAAATAAAGAAAAAGAAAAGTTAGAAAAAAAGGAAGTAAGAAAACAAAGAAAAGGAATTTTAGGAAAATTTAGAATAATAAAACCAAATAAGTTTGAAAGAAGGAGACCGAAAGAAATCGAGAAAGAAAAGAAACCAACGAAGAAAAATACTGAGGCATCTAGAAGTGAAACAAAAAAAAATAGAAAAGAAAAAGAAAGAAAGCTAGAAACAAAAGGAAAAAACGAAATAGAAGGTGAGGGAAATTGAATTAATAAATAGTAAATAACATGTTATCTTAGGTTGGTTACAATCTTTCTATTATAATTAACAAAACGTGTTATCAATTAAAAAACAACATAACGTCTTATCACAATATTATTATCGATTTTATGCGGACCAGGAATTTTAACCTCATACAAAAGATGTTTCGTAAAAAGATAAAAATTATAAAAGGACGATCGTTCGCAAACAATCTGAAAGTAGAGAGCATACCCAGTGCAATCTTATCTTCAGTGATCGTTTGCATATTTTCCTCGCGTCAGCTCCTTTCCAAGCCCTGGGGCACGATTAGGGTGAGGATTAAGTATTTTCCGGTCAGTCAAAAGAACTGGATGTCTAAGAGTTGTAGGATTTTTTCTTCCAAACAGAAAGGAACCAAGGGCCTAGAGGCAGTTTCTCTTCCGTATTGGCTCGAGTTAATTGTACGGATTAAAACTCGATTTGGCAGGTTTTCGGTGAGAAAATTACGCCGGATGAAAATTCGTCCCCAGACAGCAATACACCAACATTTACACGAGGCGAGGATTTTACAAAAATGGTACGCCAGACATGACGAAAATATTAAAGCGATAATAAGGCCTAGGATGGTCAGAGACGTCAGCACGTAGGCTAACAAAAAGAAAAAGAGAGAGAAAAAAAACAGTCCCGTCCATTGTTCCATCTACAAATTTAAATGGATACCGTGACCGTTGGGGCTGGTTAGCACCCTGCGACAATTTCCTTACATGAAGATGTTTGTATTTCGTCAAAGTGGGTCTGGTCTTTTCTCCCTGTTCTTAACCAAAAAAGTAGGCAGTTCTGTCACCCTTTTATGGGACCTGCATTTGTTGACACCCAGATTAGGGGTCTGTGAGATTTTATTATCCGTAATCAAAATGTATTAAAAA